TGTTTATATACTTGATCTAAGAAATGAAATAAGTTTGCAAACCCACTAGAATAAACCTTTTCATTAGGATCTAACCTTTAATGAAGGTTGTTACCCTTAACTGAATTTTCCTTATAAAAATATCTCAAATTAAAGCCACTCTTGATGGTTAGATTTTAGATACATTTCCGAAAGAGAAAAAAACCCTAAGAATTCAAATATAGAGCAAACTCTTTTTTAAACAAGTATTAGAAAATAGAACTGACATTATAAATAAGTTTCTGATATCAGAAAGATAAGCTGAAGTTGTCTTGTGGAGCACCTGACCCAAAGATAAGCAGCTTTTATAACTCTAGGAAGGGAGATGTTGAGCATGCAGCTGAACGAATTGTCCCATCATGAATCCAAATCTGTGATGTGAAGGGCTGAGGTGAAACAGTTCTAAAGCACTTTACTAACACACAGGTTTCCATTCAGGGTCTGCCTTACTTCAGCCACAAATAATCTCTGGTTTCAAGGCAAAAGCCTCAAGCTGCAAACCATGAACACCTCCAAAACATGCTCCATTTAGAGCTGGAAGGTGGGGATTTGGGAGCAATTTTCAAAGCAAGGTTCTTGCCCAACATATTAAGAGACCCTGTGGCTGGTTCTTAAAACAGCCATCCTCAAGCAGGCACTGCCAAATAGATTTGATAGATGTTGTTCCCAGGTTTGGGGAACCACATAAAGCAAAAAGACTGGATACTAAATCACAGAAGTATGGGTCTAAATTGGAAACATGCTTTTTTGTCATCACTGTTCAATGCAATGCAAAGCAGTAAAAGTTTCACATTTGTTGGAAGTAGGTTGAAATTTGAAAAGTCATATTCACTCCAGAATTAAGGACAACTTCATGGTTTGAATCATATTCCTACAAAGCATGAAACCAGGTGCGAGTGGCTAGCTAATCATCACAGAGGGTAATTTAAACCGGGATCCATGGGCCAGTCTTTCTTGTTGATGATGATGGTACCTGATTGTGTCAAAAGGGTTTAAGGAGGAATGGTAACAGACAGGACCAAATAATAAAAACAAAAGCATAGTAACAAGAGGAGAAGGTGAAAAAGAAAAAGAGGGAACAGCAAGAAGAGGAAGAGGAGGAAAATTTCTATAAAGTGAAGTTTAAAAAAGTTATCATCTGTTGTTTAGGGGAATCTGAGAAATATGAGACCTTTCAATTTATTTTCTGGCAATTTTATTGAGAACATAGAAGTGATGTGTACATATTATTTGAGTCTTGCATGTAAAGTGTTTTAATCAGTGGGGCTACCATCAGGGGCAATCTGAAGGTAAGGGATGACATAAAAAGAAATCTTTCTCTGCATAAAATCTGCCTATTTTGCAGACCCATATTAAGATGCATGGGAAGGAAAATTGAGAGAATAGGAGTGTGGACACAATTGAAATATTACCACTTGTCCTCCTAATGCTCCACTTGTCCTCCTAATGCTCCATTTTATCTGAATAAAAATAACAAGTGCTGTATATTGTGTGCTTATTTGCAATTAAACACTTTAAATGCATAATTGTCAAAATATGCCTGTGAGATAGAGGTGTGACAGCCGTTTTCGAATTAGCTGAGGTCACCGTGATGGAACAGATCAGAAACTTAAGCCGGTTTGTCTTCAAAGGCTCCGAAAATGATCAAAGTTCCTCTTTCAGAGGGCTGCTGGGGGTTCAAACAAGACATAACGTAGGAAGTGCAGCAGGCTTTGTTGATATAGTCCTAGCGCTACAGCTAGAGGTCCGTAAAGGATCCCTCATTTCATTCTGTGCCTTCGGGATCTGCCTGTCTACACTGTAACTATCGCTTTTTCCTGCTCTAACTAGCAATGGTTCTGGCTACGCAGGGTCGTCCCTCTCTCCATCGCAGAAGTAAGAGGTCTGCTAAACAGCAGTATGTGTGAAGGAGCAGACAAGGGGCCAGGTTGACAGCTGACTGAAGTTACAGCCATTTGCCATTTCCTGATTCTCTGCACTTGCTGTGGCCACAGAGGCCACATGTGAGGCCACGGGAAGGAGCCATTCTGTCACTCCAGCTACCGCACACCACATGTGCCTTTCCATAGGTTGCTCTGGGCCAGTATTCTCCCGTGGGCAGGACGTAGGCCAGCTGTGTCCACTTTACACCGGACCCCAGAGCCGGCAAACAACTGTGCTAGGAGGACCCTAAGCACAAATCAGACCTGAGTCTGAAGTTAATATCCCCAGAGAGAAATAAGGCATGTAGTTGTGATATTTTATTAATGGTGTACTAATTCTAATTAGTGAGAAGATAAATGCTGAATATGAAAAAATAGAGACGACCTTATATTGCCTTAGATTGCCCCGTGGATGTGAATGGATGTGTCTGCATTCCCTATAACTGTGTAACAAGCCATCCTAAGCCTTAGCAGTTTACAGCAATGATTTCTTATTTCTCAAAAGCCTGTGTATTAGGTGAGTGCTCCACTTCTTCTGGCAGGTGGGTCACTATGCGCCTGCGTCCAACACAGGCTCTGCACAGCAGGCATGGCCAGGCCTCTTGCTCCACCTGGTGTCTTCACCCAGGCTCTCTCGTAGGGCGGGGGTCTCAAGGCCACCTTCCAAGGGAAAGCAAACAGGCTGCAAGCCTCCAGAGCCCGGCCTGAAACTTCACAGTGTCATTGCTGTGGTGTCCTGTGAGCCCGAGGCAGTCACCAGCAAGTAAGTCATGAGAAAGGCAGATAGACTCCACCGCCTAGAGAGATGGTTGACTTTACTTTGCAAATGACACAAGACGAAATGCTGTGTTCATCTTTGAAACCAATCCTAACATGAAGTGAGTGATACACATGATCCAAAAGTTGTACCATTTGTGACGCAGATGCTAGACTGTTCTCTTTAAAGTGAGGTCCACCAGCTGAAGATCATTCAATGCAGTCCTCCAGAATGGGAACTTGGAAGCATTTCTAGCATAAAGATACTGGATGTTTTGCTTGTCCACAGATTCAAAACTTTGGCTCACTAGCGCACCTTGTGCTTGAAGTAGCCGTATGGAACCTTTCATTTATTCGTATCTCACAACTTTGCTATACATATATATGTACATGTATTCCTATGCAAAGCCATAGAAGAGGTAGTGGAGCATGACTAATAGCTACATCAATTACACATCTTTTTAAACTTTATGATATTACCATTGGAATCACTTCTTTCTTCCTATCTGTGTTAATACCAATAGGATGAACTTACACTCTGTAAATTTTTTGTTTATATTTTTTTAACTCAGCTACTTGTACTTTTCTTTACGGAAGAGTGGTTTTTGCCCTTTCCACTTAAACTTCTGTTGAGCAGTTATAATTCTAATGAGATACAAAAATAAATACATCCCCTAGCACACTCCATTTGTAGATAGCCAGAGACATCTATCTTCTTGAACTTACACTGAAGGTAAGTTTAGATACTGAGGGTAAACCAGAGATCGATACACTAGACAGGCTGCAGAACTGTGGTTGTTTAGTAGCCAGAGCTTCTAGTTATAGAACATGTAAATCCTGGGCACACTGCTGGTGGCAAGTACAAACTGGAACATTCCATCATAATTTGTTCCTGTATATGGGAAATATTTGTTGTGTTTTCACTATGGATTAGATCTATTCTACGTGAAGAACATTAATAGAACATCTTTTCTATGTTTTATGGTATTATTATTGGGATTACTTCTTTCTTCCTTCTTGTGTTAATGACAATGGGGCCAACTTACTCACTCTAAATTTTTAAGTTTGTAATTTTTAAAACTCAGCTGCTTGCATTTTGCCTTTACCTGTGAAGTTCTTTCTCTTATATAACTTAAATTCTAGACAGGAGAAACAGAAATCAAAGACTATACATACATAGTCTCAATTGCTAGTAAACAGTATTGAAAAAAAGTAAAGCAGAGCTCAGGAAGATGAAGAGAAACCAGTCAAAGAGACTGAGAGGACAATTGTTTCAAACACTCCTGAGCGGGGCATGGTGGCGCACGCCAGTAATCCCAGCACTCGGGAGGCTGAGGCCGGAGGATTATTGAGAGTTTGAGGCCAGCCTGGGCTACAAAGTGAGCTCAAGGTCAGCCTGAACTGCATCGTGAGACCCTGTCTCAAAAAGACAAAAAATAAATAAATAAAAATAAAATAAAAATAAAAACGCTCCCGAAATTACAGGGAAGCTGGTCATTGTGTTTGGCAAGGTGGGAAGACATTGAGTGGTGGAAAGTAAGAGCAAATTAAAGAAGGGATGAGAAGAGAGAAAGCAACATGTAAGTGTGGAAAACTCTGCTATAGACACTTTCCTCAATAAGGAGGGTGGGAATGGGTGGGTTTTCGGGGGGAGATGCAGGTCATGGGAGAAATTTCTCTAGGAAAGGAAATATGACAGCATATTTGATGCTAAAGAGAATGGTCCAGGACAGTACGCGAGGGAGGGCAATTTGCGAAAATAGTGTCCTTTAGGAATTGGGAAGGATGGATTTTTCTAGAACAGATATAGAAACTCTTACTATTAAAATTTTTGAGCATATACTCAAAGCTATGTGCACGTGTTCCTGTTTTATTTGTCTTATGCTGAAGTGCCTTGTTAAAGCTATTTTAAAACCTGTGTAAATATGACAAATACACACATAGAAGGCCCAGAATTTCTTCTTCACATGGAGAGTCTTGCACACGTACCTTAAAGTGTGTTCATCTCACTTTGGGATGCTTGCCTTTAGGTAATGTCACTGTTTGACACTGATTTATCAAAAATCAGTTGAAAGCAAAGAGCTGATCTTTCACACTTGAGAATTTAAATTTTCTTTCTATTGTGATTTCGGTGAAGAAATTGTTTTGGCTTTAAGCAGCACATTTTGTACAGATTAATAGCACTGAATATAATCAGCTTGAGAGGATTCAGTTAGATGATATAATTCAAAAGGGAATTCATGCTCTGAAGTTACTTTGTCACATACAACATCACAACATGCAAAAAAGAAGAAAGGTGAACAATTGCATTTCAATTTTTATTTGTCATGTTTGGGTCACTTTTTAAATCAAGAGTCATTCCCATGGCTTTCTTTGGCTCCATGATTGGAAGACAAAAGTATGCCTCTCTTCACAGCATATAACTAAAATCTTCCACCACATGATCGAAGGAGTGAAAAGTGTATGCCCCCCAGCACCGTAGTTTCTGTGCTTGAAAAAATTGAGTTTGCCTGCTAGAGGGCAAACTACAATATTGTTTCCAGGTTGCAAAGAGTAAAGAGCTTAAGTAACAACCACTGGAGATTTTTCTAAAATATATTGTTCTCTGGAAGATATATTTGCTAATTAGGAAGCTAAAATTAGTGGCACAGAGCCAGTGTTTTGTGACTGCTAATATAATAAAACTGGTGTCAGATGAACTACCCCAGGGAAACCTTTAAGGTGGTGAAAGAAATCCTTCCCTCAGTTCCAGTGTAACCCCAGGTATACATTAGCATGTCTAGGTGTGTCACAAAACCCCTTCTATGCAAGCTTCACGTTCACTGCGTGAGATCCCTTTTTCAGAGAGGCAGCGATGCCCCTAGATCAGCCTCTCCATCGCAGGGGGTGGCATCACGCTCCACATTTCCACTCGAGCACCCTCCTTTTCCTGACGGCTGGGGTTGTAGGTTCCCTGAGTTGCCCTCTTGTTGGAGGCAACAATAGAAGCAACCACAGCCAGCAAGAGGATGAGTAGCAGGACTAACGTCACTGAGGCCGTGGCGGTGAGAAGGTCCGAGGTCATGTCACCTGCCAACTGAAAGGATTGGTGTAAGTGTGACGTGAATTCTCCGGCAAAGCTAAGTGCTAGGACAGTAGAACTACTCCGCAGTGAAGACCCATCAGATCAAGCTGGTTCCGCTCAGTACTGAAAAAAGACCAAGACATTAAAGGAAAGCCACACTGACTTGTTCCCAAGTCCTGTGGAAATGATCATATGTCCAGCATTTAAGGTCTGCAGTCCGAAAATGTGGTAAGAATGTCTACTCAGTTTTATAATCTCAGTGACTGAGATTGTTTATGCAGCAGCAAGGGCAAAAGAGGAAACTCTTTATATGTAAAATCATTCTAAATGTATAGGAGAGCACTCTTCCCTCTGTTGCCCAGGGTTCTAATTTTGGACACATAAATGGAAGAGAAAAGAGAAGAAAGAGAGGAAAGTAGAGAACAGAGTACACAGAACAGAGAGGGAGAAAAGATTTTTGTTTCAGTTTGAGAAAGGAAGCAAATTAAATAACTTGGGTCATTCTGGAAAGACCCCTGGAGAGGAAGAGCTGACCACATGTGCTGGTCTCCAAGGCCATTTCTTCTGATTTGGATTTGATGTGACAATTCAGTGCTTGTGAATGCAGTAAGTTATGAGCTCAACACTGAACCCAAACATTCAGCAACAGAATGAGGAGGAGCTGATGCCCTCCCGGGTGCTAGTAGCTCATAATAACTTTTTTTTTTCTGGTACTGGGAATTGAACTCATGACCTCACGTTTTCCAGGCAGACACTGTACCGCTGAGCTAAATCCCCAGCCCCCTAGCTCATAATAATTTGTTTAATGATGATTCCAGAGTGTTTATACAGCACTTCAGCTTTCTCTCTATTTGTGCCCCTTTATCAGACCAATTTACTGTTACAAACAGAACCTTTGTTTTAACATCACAGGCAGTTTAAATGTCTTTGCTGTCCTTAGTCATTTTTATTCTCTGTGCTTTTGTTTAAATCATTATATAGTCAACATAGTAATGTCTTTTTTATTCCCCCGGTACAGGGAATCGAACTGTGGACCTTGTGTTTGCCAGGCAGGTGCTTGTGCCACTGAGCCATATCCCCGACCTGACATAGTAATGTCTTCATGTGTTATCTTGGGTCTATTCCCTATGAGTCTTGATTAAATGCTCATTAGTGGGGCTGGGGATTTAGCTCAGCGGCAAAAGCACCTGCCTGGCAAGCGCAAGGTCGTGAGTTCAGTTCCCGGTACCTGAGAAAAACCAAAACCAAAAAAAAAAAAAAATAAAAAAAAAAAAATAAATGCTCATTAGTTTGATCTCAACAGAACATTAACAATTTCCTACGGGCTGGGAAATAAAATATACAAAGCTAAACCAGAGTTTGGAACCAACAGTTAAGATTTGCAGCATAGGATAAAAGGAAGATCCACACACAGGCACATACACAAGTGACACATCACGTGTTATGATGCCATAAATAACTGTACTGAGGAGTAGGTCGAGTAGGGCTGGAATGAAGCATGTGATTCTTTGAAAGATGAGTGAATGAATGGTCAAGTACTCTAAACAGAAAATTCCACTTGGATGAAATTATTTGAAAAAACAAGAAGGGGGCATTAAATTCCTTAGAATTTGGTTTAATCTTACTCAGTCCAATAAGTTGTGTCCTCTTTAGAAATAGGTGACTTTTCTCCCAGATGAATGAGTTGGGATATCTGTGCCCATGCAGACAGGAAAGAAATCATTTGGTTTGCTTCTGTTTGTGAGCAAAGGTATTTATTGTCCATGAATGTGTACGTCTGGGTTGGGAAAGGATTTAAAGACTTGATGAGAAATGAAACGGTAGAAGAAGTGAATCTTATCAAGACATGTGGATGCAGCAAGAAATTCAGCCTTTGTTCTGTGGTCATTGTGAAGCCAGTGAAGATGCTTAAATGATAGCATTACATGGTCAGATCTGTGTCTGGTCAATCTGGCTCTTCATACTAGAGAACAGGATGAGAGAGAATGAAAGTGGGGAGAAACTGGAGGTAGGAAACAGTTTATTATGATAAGAAATGCCCTAGGTCTTGCAAAGAAGTGAGAATTAAAGGAAAAGGATGGTGGAGAAAGAATTTGGAAATAAATTTTACATTGTTCAGGGTTGGGGAGAAGCAAAGGAGAGCTAAAAGACAACCTATGATTCCACATTAAATAATCATGTGAAATGGGATTCATTAACTGGAATTAAATATTAAGAGGAAAAACAAGTTTGTTTAGGAAAACTGTGAGTTCAGTTGAGAAAATCAAGTTTCAGATACCAAGAGGGTATTCATAGGCATAATACTAAGTATTCCATAATTACAAATACTGTAATTTCTCCCCTCCCTTCATATTAAATTCAGATTCACAACAAATTTTCATCCAACCATTATTGGAGCTTTAGGAGTGAAGCATAGAATTTTACAGAATTCAGTAGTTTTTGAGAGAAATAGTTAACTCAACTGGAGACCAAAGTCCCCATTCATACTGTGTGGTCATGCTTTCTAGAGTAATTACATCTTTTATCAATAATGATAATGGTGAGCTGGGAAAAATAAACAGAGCCATGGAGTTGGCCTTGAAAGGCTAAAATTCTGTGAGACAGAACGATTAACCTTTCATTATTTTCCAGGGACCTTTAGATAATGCACACTCTTGTTCCTAGACATTGGTTTAATCTTATTCAGTCCAAGAAGTTGTGTCCTCTTTAGGAATAAGCAGCTGCTCTCCCAGATGAATGAGTTGGGGTGTCTGTGCCCATGAAGACAGGAAAGAAATCCTTTGCTTTGCCTCTGTTTTCTGCACTTCTCCAGGCCCTTCTTGTTTCATTAGGACTGAAACTGATACACTGGGGAAGTGAAGGCCATCTAGGCCCTCTCATTGGCTTCTCTGCAATTGCGGAGAGACAGGAACGCACGGGGATAGGCCTATGCTGAATCTTTGTTAGTACCACAGTCCAGGTGGAAACAGAGGGCAGCTCTACTTCACTTATCCTGTGACGTGTGAGTAATCAAGAGCCGTGTCTGCAGTTGCTTCAGTGTCCTCAGAAATGTGGTAAGAATGAAAGAAAATTGAAGGACTAGGATCTGGCTTTATCTCCGTTACCCAAGGCTGAATAATTAAGAGCTCAGTGCATAGGTGCAGGGGCCTGGGTTTGATTCATGTCTTTGTCACTTACTTGTGTGAATAGTAGCAATATATTTCATTTCTCAGAGACTCATTTTTATCATTTATGAAGTGGATATTATGTATCTCAACAGACAGAACCAAATGAAATCCAACAAATCAACAAAACACACAAAGCATTGTCTCTAGTAAGTTCTCAGTATACAACAATATATTAAGAGCTATTAACATACCATTTACTATTACTGCTAATTCAATTTTTATAACAATAAACAGATCTTAGTGCTTTATAGTTTAATCAAGGGAGCCAACCTAAAAACTTAAATTAAGTTTTTAATGAAATAATTTCCCTAATGATTAAATAATGCATGTTATTAAGATTTGAGGAGGTTGAATGAGTAGGGTTGTGAAGGTACTTCTCAACTGTTTTCGATTTTGCTCTGCTATTCTTCAACTATGTTTAAAATGTACAGCACTGGGACTAATATTTCTAAAATTAAAAGAACCGTGTTGCATGAACTGATGATACGATCTCCAAGTGTGGGAAAAGACCTATTTAAATGGGTTCTGCTTCTAATACTGCACTTTTGAATAACATTTTCATCAGAAGAAATACCCTCAAAATACCATGAACAATTAATTTCCTAAAAGATGATATACTTCAAACTATTTTCAATTGTACTAATATGTTTTCAAAGTGTACCTGCTGCATACAAGCAATTTAATGTCATTATTTTGAACTCTATATCTGTAGAATGAAATAAGTCTTTTATTTGTTTCTCCTGAAGAGGATTCATTCTGAAGCACTGACTGGGTTGTGTCCTATCTAGAATCCAAATCAAGATTGCTATGCTATTCTGAGATGTAGCTGCCAAAACATGTTTTGCATCTTCTCACCTGTCAACTATGTGCTGGAATAAACTGAAACCACATATTAATGCAATTTAATTACATAAAAGGAGTTCTACACTGTTTATTTTCAAGGGAGACTGAAGATAAACACATATTTGCTCAACACATAGAAATGGGCTTATATCTGGTCTTATCACTTACTTAGTATACTTAGCCTATAATTGCATTTCCCCACCCATAAAATGGAAACAACAATGCCTGTGTCTTAGAACTGTCCAAGAATGGTAGCATTCAGGTGTCTAAATTAGGCACTGAGAAAGAACTTGGTCCCCGTTACTGCGCTTCAGTATTTTCATTCAGAGGAATCCATTCCCATTGATTGCCCTTGCTTGGCTTCCAATTTTTAAGTCGTATCACCCACAGCTCCTCTTCCGAAACACCTGCCCTTGGGGCTGAACCCGGGAAGGTTGAAGAGTATCCTAGTGGTGCCCTCTGCGTACTCATGCACAGACTGAGAGAGGGCGTGCAGTCTGGGCCCGTCAGAATCAGCTCTTCCCTTAATAATTGATTGTATAACAGTTCATCTTATTTTGAAAGCACAAAAGGAGTTGGCTTGTTTGGAAAAAAAGTGAAACAGTTCTATCTTTAGCATCAGGAATTGCCTGTCATAATAGTTAGGACTGATGACTATATTTGAAAGAATTTGAAAACAATAAATACATCAGAAGGAGCATACCCTCCCCCAAATATAATGATTTACAGGATTTGGGGGAAATTGGACCTCACATTTTCAGGTGAATGGAGATGAAAACCTAGAGGTTTGACTCAAAGTGAGGAAATTCAGGATCTTAGGCTCGTTATCATTGATGTCATTCTTTCAGACCTAGCTTGTATAAAATTAGCAGAAATATGTTTATGGTTAAAATGGTAACACTATTTGGAGTGAAAAATGTCTCCTGGAAAACACTACAGTGGAATGAATTGCGTTAGTTCTCTCTGGCACTCAGTGACATGTCAGTTCTTTAGGACTAGGTG